TAGGGTTTAGGGTTTAGGGTTTAGGTTTTAGGGGAATATTTCTTAGATTGGATTAGGGCTTAGGGCTTTTAGAGTGCTGAGCAGCTTTTGGTCCCAAAATCTTCGAGGTATCGACACCCAGCCAGGCGACGGCCTTACATGGCCTGACTGGCTTCCCGTCTTGCAGTGGTGCCGGTATAGGGTTTAGGGTTTAGGGTTTAGGGTTTAGGGTTTAGGGTTAGGGTTTAGGGTTTAGGGTTTGATAGCAGAATAGCAGCCTTTACAGACTAGCACCGATGGTTTAACCATGAGGGCAGGAGCACTGCAAAGCCGGGTTGCCGTGGATGCTAAACTCAGTTACCACAGTAGCAATTTGCAAAGAGATTGTAGGATATTCCAATACTATGCCAACTAACCCCCCGTACCCGAAACCAATGCAGCTTAAGTTCCTCGACAGCAAGCCCTCTTTGCCGCAGGATCAGGTTCCCCCTAAAACCCGAAGCCTTAAACCCCTAAACCCTAAACCCTAAACCCTGAATCCCTTCGAGCAGCCGTCGAAGTGCAGAGCCGCCACAAAGTGCGGTAGGAGAGCTTTTTCCAAGAGTTAGAATGGAAGCATTGGTGCAGGGCACGGTGGCTCGGCTGGACTTGGCCGTAGGTTTCAGGGAAGGTTTTACCCTAAACCTGAAATCCTAAACCCTAAAAAGTTTGTAGGTTTCAGTGTTTAGGGCTCAAGTTTTCGGGGGGCCTGACTTTAAGCACGTCAAACAGGGGGTGGGGGAGGTGGTGTTACATGGGCAGTTCTGAATTAGTGTGCCTTTTCGGGTCCCCTTAGGGTTTAGGTTTAGGTTTAGGGCTTCGGGTTTAGGGCTTCTTCCTCACAAGGGTAATACGGGGATTATACTGTCATGTTTGGGTGTTCTTAGGCAAATAGTAGATGAGCGTCCCCTTTTGGGGTCCTATATAAGACGGCACCCCTTGTGATTCGGACCCCAAACGGGACCCTAACATTGCAAAACCTAAACCCTAAACCCTAAACCCTAAACCCTAAACCTTGGATGTTAAGCTCTCCGCAACATGTCCCGACATGTGCCGTAGGATCTGCTCTAGTCGCCTCTCGGTTTCTCGGTTTCTTGAAAACGTAGTAGCTGAGTGAGCACACTTTACACACTTTTTGGGATACTATAGTCTCCTATAGAACTGAAAGTGTACTTTTTTTGGGGCCGGGGGAGGGGGGGGGGGCTTGTGAACTCAGCATCTGAGAAAAGGAGACCATGCATAAGGTTCTTCAGGGCAAGAAGCCGGAGTCCTAAGAAAAGCCCTATGTCCCTGGATCCTCAAATTATGAACGCCCTCGAATCCGAAAACCCTCATTGTCAGTCTTAAAAACCCTGACAAAAAAATTCCCCGAACCCTAGTACCCAACAAAAACCGAGACCCCGCCCTCCAAAATAGCCCCAAGATCCTGAAACTTCCGCCTTCGGTCAGGCCTGTCCTGATGGATCTGCGCAAAAGCTCGTGCCAACGCCCCCCACCACGCCGCCCAAGAGGCTGTAAGTGGAAGCACTATGTTAGGGTTAAGGGTTTAGGGTTTAGGGTTTAGGGTTTCGGGTGTAGGGTGTAGGGTGTAGGGTTTAAGGTGTATGGTGTTGGGTTAGGGTCCTAACCCTGCTCAGGTTGGGTTCACGCGTTGTAAGGTGGGCTTGAGGGATTCAAGGGGTTTTGGGGTTTTGGAGGCCGTTTAGGGTTTAGGGTTGAGGGCTCCTATGTGGTTGATCTTGCAGCGACATGCAGAATATGCAGACGTGGCGCAGATGTTCTCTATCTTAGGGCTACATAACATAGTACGGCCCCCTCATAGAAAGGACAGCCCCCCCCCCCCCCCCCCCCCCAAACCCTACATTCGAGAACGACCCTAAACCCTGAACCCGAAGCCCGCAACCCTAAAACACAGCCATCATGGCCCAGAAAGGATAGCCACCCCCCCCCCCCCCCCCCGGCGCAAAATCCAAAGGTAAAGGGGACCCCTTATTTACCCCACTACACCCTATAAAACCTAGGGGCCCATACTTCAGAACCACTTGAAAGGAGGTAAGGGACCACTTTCAGGCACCATAACGACCTAAACCCTAAACCCTAACCCTAAACCCTAAACCCTAAGCCCGAAACCCTAAACCCCTAAACCCTAAACCCTCAACCCTAAACCCTAAACCCTAATCCCTAAACCCTAGCCCTAAACCCCAAACCCTAAACCCTAGCCCTAAACCCCAAACCCTAGCCCCCAAGACAGAAGGCCGCCTCGCCGGCGCCTGAGCTGGCGTTCCGGCCTCCGTGGCGCGGACGTGTGGCCGTTCGGCCCTCAGGGCTTAGGGTTTAGGGTTTAGGGTTTAGGGCTTAGGGTTTAGGGTTTAGGGTTTAGGGTTTAGGGTTTAGGGTTTAGGGTTTAGGGTTTAGGGTTACTTGGAGGTTCATGGGTATGTATAGTGCCAATTCTAAGTCTACCTAGGGTTTAGGGTTTCGGGTTTCGGGTAGGCCCTTGGGATATTTCATGTCCTCCTGGGTTTCAGAGGATCATGTTTTTAGGATCTTTTCAGAAAGTTTTGAAGGGCCATCCTAGAGGATCTTTTAGGGTTTAGGGTTTAGGGTTTAAGGTTTTGGGTTTAGGGTTTAAGGTTTAAGGTTTATGTTCTTGGCGTTCTTGGGGGTTCAGGGCTTGGGGTTTAGGGTTTAGGGATGCGTGTCTCAGATTTTTGGGGATTGGGGTGTAGTTAGGGTTTAGTGGTGGGGTTTAGGGTTAGGGCTCAGGCGGGAGACTTTGAGAGTTTGTATAAGGTTTCTAAGGGGCCCGGCCCGGGTTTGTATAAAGGGCTTAGATAGGGCTTTCCGCAGGCTCCTAGTATCAGAGGGGCAGAAAGGCCTCACAGTGCTTTTTTTGGCTTGCGGGCATAAAGGTCTTACAGTGTTTGCCGGGGCTTGCGGGAGTGTTGAGTATGTTGCCTTGAGGGGTGCAGGTTTTGTTTTTGGGTTTAGGGCTTCAGGCGTCTTCGTTTCGCGGCCCGGGGGTTAGGATTTAAGGGCTTCCGGTATCTTCCGGTGCAAAGTTTCATAGGCTTGTTTGTGGGGGTTACCCTAAACCCTAAACCTTAAACCCTAAACCCCAAACCCTAAACCCTAAAGATTGGGGTTTGGGCTTCGCTGGGCTGTGCATTTCGGAGATTGCAGGACCCGATGGCTTCATGTGCAAATGTCTGCGAGATCTTACGGAACCCTCAACCCACACCCTAAACCCCAAACCCCAAACCCTAAAGAATGCCGTGCATACCGGGGGTTGACCTAGAAATCATGGGCCCTGCCTGTCCTGAACTATCAGGAAGATACGGTGGCAGGTTCCCCAGGCCCATAAATAAAACCCTAAACCCTAAACCCTAAACCCTAAACCCTAAACCCTAAAGGGCCCTTGAGGGAGGGAGGGGTCAAGGGAACCCAAGGTTAATACCCCTACTCCCTAAGGCTCCCTGAGCTTCCCTAAGGTTCCCTACACCATGAACCCCCTCCTTATAAGGGCCCTGTAAGGTAAGCCAGTGCCCTGAAACCTACAGCCGAAACCGCTGCCCTTAGTGAACTGAATGCACTGATTTCCTGCTTGGAGGTTCATGGTACTTATTGGCCAATTAGAACTGTACTTATAGCCACTTATAAGCCCCTTAAGTGCCCCAATATGTTTACAAGCACGCTTATATGTACAGTTCTAATTGGCTCATAAGTACCATGAACCTCAAAAGTGATGGCTGTGCCCAGGCGAGAGCAAGACAAGGAGAGGGGGCCGGTTGAAAATTTCCCGAACTTGCTAGGCCCTTGGGAGATCTCATTGTTTTTCCCTTATTGGGTCTAAGACGATCATGTTCAGAAATATTTTTCAGAGGGTTTTCAGGCCCTCCTAGCTAAACTTCAATGATTCAAACTCTAGCAGCCTAGACCCGGAACCCTGAGCCCGGATTTAGGGGGCAACCCTAAACCCTAAACCCTAAACCCTAAACCCTAAAGGCTGAGGTACGGCCCTAAAACGAGATTTGATCATGCACCCGAAGTCGCCTAAACGGTAGGGTTTAGGGTTTAGGGTTTAGGGTTTAGGGTTTAGGGTTTAGGGTTTAGGGTTTAGGGTTTTGGGATACCCTCAACCCCTCTGTACCTCAAACCCCGGGTCCCGGTCCTAAACCCGACTTGGTAGCCTAATGGTACCCTCTACCCTTTGAATTCGTTCTGGGTTCCCTTATATAAAGTAACCAAAATTTAAAAAAAAGAGAGTGCCTTCCTTATAATGTGGGTTTCTGGGCTACCGAGCCTAAAATCTAAAGCCCAACCCCTGGGTCCCGGTCACGGACCCCGTCCCGGACTCCCGCAGGCGCCCAAAGAAGTCAAGGAGGTCCAGGTGATTCCCAAGGAGCCGCCTGCGAAGATTCCTCGGCAGGCTTGGGGGCATTCAGGGCCCCGCACCCTTTCCCCTGAACCCTATTTAGGGTTTAGGGTTTAGGGTTTAGGGTTTAGGGTTTAGGGTTTAGGGTTTAGGTTTAGGGTTTAGGGTTAAAGCCCTAAGCTGTCAGCAAAACCCGCTAAGCCCTCGACCCTACCCGTACACCAGCCGACCTTCAGAATCATTACCAGGTAGGCCCTTGGCATATTTTATTTTTCCTTGTGTCGGTTTAAGAGGGCCATATTCAGGAATATGTTTCAGAGGGTTTTCAGGGCGATTATCCCTAGGTTGCGAAGTAGTACCCTTATTCCCTTTTCGGGGGGGGGGGGGTAGGTTCCCTTATAAACCCCTCGAAGCAAAAAAAAGAGCCCCCTTGTTAATCCTAGGCTACTGGGCAACCTAGATTTTCTTTTTCACAACAGAAGCTTGCGCTGAATCATTGGACTCTTTCTTGGGGGGGGGGGGGGGTGAGTCTGAGCTTAGCACAATATTTGTCCTTTGCCTTTTTGAGTTTTGTATGTGCTTCCATCCACGCCAGTCAGCAAAATGAATGTTCTTGCCCTGCCCTTTCTTGGGTCGGGGAGTCCTTACCAACAGAACCAACTAGAAACCGTACCTGTTTTTGATTCTAGGGTGCCGGGTCCCTAAACCGTAAACACCTAAACTCCTAAACCCCTAAACCCAAAATCCAAAACCTTAGTTTACCTCTGAACCATAAACCCCCTAAACCTTATAACCCTACAACCCTGAACTCCTACACCCCTATGCCCAGAACCCTACCCGGAGTTCATGGGTAACCATAAGCAGGGTAATAGTACCCTAGATAGGGTTACAAGCATAGTCACCAGAATTGTAGCCCTACTTATAACTTCCCAGAAGCCTCCGAGTCCTCACCCCTCATAGGGTTTAGGGTTTAGGGTTTAGGGTTTAGGGCTCAACCCAGAACCCCTATAAGCCCTAAAAGTCCTCGAACCCAAAGCTGACTGGCAGATAGGCCAAACATCGGCAGACGCTCACTGATGCCGCGGAGTACCACGAGGCGAGATAGCCCGGTTTAGGGTTTAGGGTTTAGGGTTTAGGGTCCAGGGTTTAGGGTTTAGGGTTTTAGGTTTAGGGTCTAGGGTTTAGGGTTTAGGGTCTAGGGTTTAGGGTTTAGGTTTAGGGGCCCACGTTTGCCTTCCTTGTCACCTCCGAGTGGGCTTATAGACATAGCGCTTGGTGCTGGGTTTCCTCATGTCGGGTGTAGGATTTAGGGTTTAGGGTTTAGGGTTGCGCTTCTGCCCTGAATTGGTCGTTGATGAAGTAGTTAAACCCCAATGCCTGCAGAACCAGGTTAAACACGAGCAAGCCCCCAAAAAGCCTTCAACGTAGCACCCTAAAAGAACCCCCCCCCCCCCCCCCCCCCCGAAAAAAAAAAAAAGAGCTCCAAATACAACGAAGCGCTCTGGCTTGTGAAACCTTGAGCCAAAATCGCTACTTCCCCTTCCCAAATTGGGGGGGGATGCCCAAACAGAAAAGAATCCCCTTGCGTGGACCCCCCCAAAAAGGGTGTGCCGCTATGTCCGGAAACCCACACGTGGCTCCACCATAAAGGCTCCTAATTATGTAGTACCGTTTTGGGGTTTGGGGTTTAGGGTTTAGGGTTTAGGGTTTAGGGTTTAGGAACTGCATTGGAGCCTTTGGCTCCACCTGAAAAGGCCGCCATCAAGATCCAGCGCCACTGGCGCCAGCGCCCACCCCGCCGCGTGGCGCTGCTGCGCCTCATCAACTCGGAGGCTATACCTACTATTTTCTTAAGAACCTTGAAATGAATACATAAATAAATAAATAGATAAATCAATAAATAAACATATATATGTGTGTATATATATACATATATCTAAAGAGTATAGAGTATTCTTCCTTAGTAAGGGTCATGGAGGGATGATTGTTTTTGATTCTTTAGGCAAATAGTAGTACAAGGGAGCCCTGCAAAAAAACTCTCCAGGACTCTTCAAACCCATTCTCGAACCTTTATACAAAAACCCTTAACAACCTCCAATAAAACCCGTGGAAAAGCTGTACTGAACCCTGATTAAAACCCTTAAAACCTTGGAATAAACTCTCGAAAGCATCCTGAACCCTTAACACCCCCGAACGAAACCCTTGAAAACACCCTAGATCCCCAGAAGCTGGAACCCTTCTAATACTCTTCAAACCCTTGAAAAGCCCATTATCGAACTCCTATAAAGAACCCTGAAAAACCTCTAACCCTGAACCCTGAACCCTGAACCCTAAACCCTAAACCCTAAACCCTAAACCCTAAACCCTAAACCCTAAACCCCCCAAAGCTGGTATTGCAAGAGGCCCGCCGTCGCCACCAGAAGCGACCGAGCTTCCAGCTCCCCGGCTCCCTCGTGCGGCTCCTTTCAGGGGTTTAGGGTTTAGGGTTTAGGGTTTAGGGCTTAGGGTTTAGGGTTTAGGGTTTAGGGTTTAGGGTTTAGGGTTTAGGCCGTAGGGTTTAGGGTTTAGGGCTTAGGGTTTAGGGTCTAGGGTTACCCTCAACCCTATATAAGAAGGGGCCCCCTACTTATAAGTAGACTTACAAGGATCCTGAATTGGATTAGAAGGCTCTTAGCTTAGGTTTCTAAGTCCCTCAATCCAACTTAGGTTTCTTTTTCCATTAGCTACTCTCCTGGTAAGGAGCGTGTAGGTGCGGAGTCGCTCCCTGAATTCGTTTGGGCTTGGGGGTTTGGGATTTCGACTTCAGGATTTAGGGTGCTTGAGCAATTTAGGCTTTAGGGTTTTGGGTTGAGCTTCTAGGGATTGCAGGGTTCATAAGATTCATAGGGTTCAAAGGGTTTACAGGTTTTGTAGGCTTTGAAAGCTCTGCAGGGTAGACGGTTGAGCACTTAAAAGCCCCAAAACCTCCTTCTAGTTTGTAGGCGACTACGACAACAGAACTAGGCTTGGGGCTTGGTCACCTCACCACTTGAGATGCTGGGTGTAATAGAGGGGCCTGAATGATTAGAATGGGGTTTTGGGGGTAGTATAGCATAAACATAAAAGGGATTATCAGGGAAACTGTTCCGACCCCTATACTACTTAGCAGATGTCAAAAAACACTTCAAGCCCACATGTCTGCGTCTGCGAACCTTTTGGGTTATGTGGTCAGGAGGCCTCAAGCCCTCAACGCCTAACATCGTGAACCCTAGAAAATAAATCCTCACTAACGTCACAAACCTGAAGCTGCTTCAACAAACAGCCGGCAGATAGCACCGCTGCGTTCACATCCGCAGATGTACGCACGAGCATATACATACTAGCATACACGCATAACCACATGACATATATATTTATATATATATATAGAAGGTTTCGCAAATGTAGGGGAACGCTGTCCGCAAACGTAGGGGAACGCTGTTCCCCACATGTAGTAGTCCCTACAGCACAATAGTTCGGCGGAGCCTTTAGCTAATTTGTGTTTAGGGTTCAGGGTTTTTTTGGCAGCACCGTCCCTTTATACATGTACTACAATCACCCACCCCCCCCCCCCGCCCCCCCGCCCCCCCGCCCCCACGCCCCCCCGCTAGTTATTGAGGCCCTTATATTATGTGGTCCTTAAGGGACCAGGGGTTACTTGCAGGTTCATGGTACTCATTAACCAATTATCGCTGTACTTGCAACCCACTTATAAGCCCCTTAAGTGCCCTAATATGGTTATAAGCACAGTCATAAAGTACAGTTATAATTGGTTACCCTAAACCTTACCCTAAGCCGTAAACCCTATAAGTACAGTTATAATTGGTGAGTAAGGACCATGAACCTCCAAGTAGGATTTAGGGTGCAGGGTTTGGCCCTGCACAGGATGCGAGCAGCAGTGTGCGAGGAGATGGCGCGTGACACCGCAAAGGCACCATGAAATCACTAGGGGGTTTAGGGTTTAGGTTTTAGGGGTTGGGGTTTAGGGTTTAGGTTTTAGGGGTTGGGGTTTAGGGTTCAGGGTTTAGGCTCTCTCTCTCTCTCTCTCTCTCTCTCTCTTTCTAGGACCCAGAGTAAGTAGGCCCTTATTCCTTTGTTTTTAGGGTTTGGGTTCCCTTATAAGCCACTTCCAACCAAAAAAATGCACCCTTTTTATTCCTAGCTTACTCTTGGGTCTAGCTTTCTGTCGTTGTTTCCCCGTATGTCTGTGCATGTCAGGCTCGCTACATCTACTGCCGGCGTCTAAATCCCTTCTCCGCAATGTTAAAGCCTTCCCCCCGCCCCCCCCCCCCCCCCCCGTAATACCCCCCGTAATAAATCCCCCACGACGCCCCCCAATTTGTATTGGGGGGGGGGGGGGGGGGGGGATGTTTATCGAATGCAGCCAGACTACTCTTCAGGCAGGCAAGTCAGACTGCCAAACAGCACAAACAACAGCGAGTGAGGGAAGGTAGGACTTAAGCCCTAAACCCTAAACCTTAAAACCCTAACCCTAAAGGGACTGACAGGAACTTGACTATCGATTCAGGTTCTGCTTCAGGCTTCCGACCCACCCAACCCCCCTTTCCCTCCGTTTCGGTAGAGGTTTTCATAGGGACGGGTGCGAGATCGGGTTTTGGGGCCAGGCGTTTATGTTTTTCAATACACTAGGCGAGTTCTGATATTATAAGGGGGAAGAGATTACATGCCTACGTCTCTCTTGCACTCTCTGTCGCTCTCTCTCTCTCTCTCTCTCTCTCTCTCTTTCCCTGCATTTTTTGTGCACAGGCTGCCCAATCAGCACCTCTAAATCCCTAAGGCAGAGGTAACACAGCTGCGGGCAGACATTGGTCCTGGGATATTCGCTCATGCCTTCAGGTATGTACGGTCTACTAGGCTCCCCGGGAGTATGGGGTTTAGGGTTTCGGGTCTAGGGCTTAGGGTTTAGGGCTTAGCTTTTAGAGCTTAGGACTTAGGGCTCAGGGTTTAGGATCTAAACTATCGGGACCCCTTTGTGCCGACAGGATCCCACGTTGAAGCGGGGCCCCAGCATTTGGCAACTCATGCAGTGCTCCACGGTGATCAAGGAGGTTCTGGAGGACGCCCCTGCAGAGTGGCGGATCGGGTCCAACTAACCCTAGGATCCATGTACCTTTTGAGTACGTTCTTGGAACCTAGAGGGGTTGCCATATATAGTATTTGTAGGGCCCAAGTATATACTAAATATATATATATATATATATATATAGAGGTACATGGACCCTTAGGGTAACTAGGGTGACATCTTTTAGAGCCAGCGGCGACATGCAATTACGGAAGCTTTTGTGGTCTTCGCAGTTTGTTTGTCCTTGCAGAAAAGCCGACGTTATCTTGTGGGACACAGCCTATCGGGTGGAAGTGTTTCTGAGGACTCACAAAGCAGAGTAGGCAGACCTCGCCGCTGCGACGAGAGAGGTATCGGCCTGTCTATGTCTTAATAGGATATATGCACAGGCACGCAAGGAAAGGCAGCATTGTCTGCATGGCCCATCCCACGCACCAAGCCCTCCTACATCACGACCCGCCAACCCCCCCCCCCCCCCCCCCCCCCCCCCCCCCCCCCCCCCCCCCCCCCCCCCCCCCCCCCCCCCCGCACCCCTCCGCCCTACTCTTTGCAAGCTCGTTTGACTCAGAAAGTCTACTTAGTGTCCCCTACAATCCCCAGATCCCACCTTACGAACCCTACTTACTAAGTCAAAAGAGCTTCCAAGTAGCCCTAAACCCTAAACCCTAAACCCTAAACCCTAAACCCGCAACATCAGCCCGATGACCTCCCAGCGCAGGATGTGCGCGGAGCATCGAAGCTCTGCCACTCCCTCAGCGGAGGCCTGGCCATCATGACCGAGGCACCGAGTGCCTTCTGTTTAGGGTTTAGGGTTGAGGGTTAGGGTTTAGGGTTTAGGGTTTAGGGGGTAGGGGGTTTAGGGTTTAGGGCTAGGGTTTAGGGTGATAGCTTGCAACTCCTTCTGCCTTGTTACTCAGGAAGTCCATAGAGAGCCCAATTTGTAGTAGCTTTTGGGGCCACAGGCTTGACCCTGTATAGCCTACATTTTGAACTGGAAGCAAACCTTTACAGTCGTTCTGGCCCTTCCAAGCCCGTGTTTGAAGGGATGCAACTGGCCAGAGAATGGGCACCCTAAACCCTAAACCCTAAACCCTAAACCCTAAACCCTAAACCCTAAACCCTAAACCCTAAACCCTAAACCCTAAACCCTAAACCCTAAACCCTAACCCCAAGTCTTCCCTCGCAGAGGTCCTCCCCATAGGCTCCCTGTGAACTCGTGTTTTGCCAGGCCACCCGGCGCAAGGAGGCAACCCGTAGCCGGCTGCGCGACGCCAGGCCGGGGGTTGAATTTAGGGTTTAGGGTTTAGGGTTTAGGGTTTAGGGTTTAGGGTTTAGGGTTTAGGGTGCAGGGTTTAGGGTTTAGGGTTTTCGGGCTTAGAGTTTTACCAGTGTTCATGCCTCTTGCGCGCATGCCCCTAAACACTGCCATTTACCTTGCTTTCACCTCTGTTATGCAACATGCTGCAGAAGGGTGGTGGACGTTTCTGGCACAAACTGCACCCTAAACCCTAAACCCTAAACCCGAACGTCCCGACAGCGGTGCTAAGGTACGTCTACCAAAGGCAAAGACGATGACATCAGGGTAGCCCAAGCAGGGCTAGAATTGCTTGTGAGGAGGGCCATGGATTGCAAAGTTCACTCCGCAACGATTGACTCAGCAGAGTTCCCTGCGCCTGTGGTGACGTCTTCTGCGATACTGATGAGGCTGCTGGCCTGCCTGGTGCACGAGTGGACGATTGACGTGATCCCTCCAGAGAAGACGGGGACCAGGAGGATTCTTGTGGGCTTCGCTGGAGAGGAGATGTGAGACTTCAAACACCCACGCTCTCTGTGGTAGTGTCTCTCTGAAGACTAACTGGGTCAAGAGAGCGACTTCTGAATGGCGCGTTTCTGAACATGCGAAACACCTGGCAGGCGTGGTTCAAAAGCCTGGTTGGCCCAGTGGTACCCTTTACCCCCTTTTTGGGTTTAGGGTTTAGGGTTTAGGATTTAGGGTCTCATAAAGTAACCAACTTAAAAAGGGTGCCTTTATTGCAATATGGTTATTAGGCTACCAAGAAAGCCACCTGTATTTTAAAATTTGATTTGACACATGCACGAAACGCCACGGCAATCCATGGCCCCTGCACCGGGTAGTTTCCTCCGTCTACCCCGTGTACAATCCTACTATACCCCGTAGTGCCATTCTTATTCCTTGTTTGGGGCTTAAGTTCCCTTATCAGCCCACCTAGACCAAAAAGTGCACCCTTTTCGTTCCTAGGTGACTGTTGGGCCTACTTCTGTTTCCCTTACAGGAGCCTTCGGAAAGGTAGGGTTTAGGGTTTGGGCTTGGGCTTCCGGGTTCGGTCCCCTCGCATGGTTTCTTTCCTTTGCTAAAGCGTTCTGAAGTACTGGCCCTTGGGTTCTTAGGTTCAGGGTTAGGGTTTAGGGTTTAGGGTGTAGGGTTTAGGGTTTAGGCTTTAGGGTGACAAACCTAAGACTTAAGCTTCTGGCAGCCAGACAGCTTCTCCCCCCCCCCCCCCGAGGCGGCGCGTTTGGCCAAAGCTCCAGGCGGTCCTGGCGTCTCGGCTGAATTCGTGGGGTCGTTTAGGGTTCAGGGTTTAGGGTTCGGTTTGGGGTGTAGGGTTTAGGGTTTAGGGTAAGCCCTGAACCCTTAACCTGAAGCCTCAACCCTAAATTTTTAAACCACTGCCAGCAAACTCTTATATGCCTTAACGAGATTCTGTGCATGAAGCCCTTAAACCCTAAACCTTAAATCGTAAACCCTAAAGCCCTAAACCCTAACGGACTCTAAGCTCCCTAAGATTGGTTCGTATGTACTTCAGGGTTCTCCGATGCACCCCTTGAAGGCACCAAGCAAAGGTTCAACCCATCCTCAACCCTCTCAACCCTGAACTTGCCCTAAACCCCAGACCCCAAACCCTAAAGCCTGAACCCTAAACCCTTTCGGGTGCAGGGTTTTGGCCTTGCACCTTCAACTCCTTGTAGGGTTCGTAGGGGAGGGTCTGAAGGGAGGGGTGTTCAAGGGGGGGTATGTAACCCAAGGCTCCACTGCTCGCCAAGGCTCCCTAAGCTTCCCGAAGGTTCGCTAGATACCTACCCCTGAACCCTAAACCCTAAACCCTGCTGCAGATACAGGGCGTGGTTGACGCTGGCAACCCGGGATGGGCATTATCGAAATTGGGCCCACTACATCTGGCTGAGGCACATCCAGGTGATTTGGGGGGGGGGGGGGGGTCACGCCCTTGCAAATGCTCTCTTTGGGGGTGCCAGTTGCCATCTAGGATGCCCAGTATTGCCCTTTTTTCATTTTTGGGGCCTTTGGGCTCCCTTGTAAACCCCTTTAAGGTAAAAAGGGCACCCTTTTTACCCCTAGGTTACTGGGCAACCTAGCCATTGGTGACGTGGACAACGGAGAACGCAAGACGTGTTTGAAGGGGAAACCAGCTAGGGAGCGCTTTGCCGTGGGGAACTCTCTGGCGGTCCTACAACCACCTGGCCCTGACTGACGACCCCTAACCCCTAAGCCCTAAACCCTAAACCCTAAACCCTAAACCCTAAAACCCTAAACCCTAAACCCTAACTGAACCCTTAAGATTCCTATAAACTCCGAGGCTTGGACCCAGTGCTTGGAGCAGAGGCGGCGTGCCGAGGCCGAGTCTTCGTGCACGGTGCATCTGACAGGGGGGTTAGGGTTTAGGGTTTAGGGTTTAGGGTTTAGGGTTTAGGGTTTGGGGTTTGGGGTTTGGGGTTTAGGGTTTTGGGTTTAGGAGGTGGGGTTCAGGGCTTAGGGTTGGGAATCGGATTTTGGGGTTGAAGACTGAGGGTTTAGATTTTGGGGTTCGAGATTTGGGGTTTAGGGTTTAGGGGTTGTGAAACATAGTCCCTCGATGCTTTTGAGGCTATCAGCGACGCAGGGGCATGAGATCTGGCATTTACATTGCTAAGAGCTGACAAGGTACTCGTAGTCATCAGATGACCGGTAGCACCCTTGCTCGCATGTTCGCTAGGCTTTTGGGTGAGCCTCGACCCCACACCTGCGAATTCGTGGGGATTCTAAACTAGAGCCTCAAGCCCTACAAACCCCAACACTGATGAATCGTACACTCTGGGGCAGTCAGGAGCTTTTGAAAGAAGAGGAACGACATGAACACCAACAACAACTCGAGCGTGTAAGCCGTAGCAAGCCAACAAATCCTGTTGACCCTGAATGACGCGCAGCAATACTGCGCTTCCTACATTGCAAACAACAACCCGAAACCCAAAACTGTTCCTTTGTCCTTCTTCGTCCTCGTCTTTTCGGGGGAGCGTGGCGTATAGTCCCTAAACCCTGAACCTTAAACCCTAGACCCTCAACACGCAACCCTTTGTCCAAATAGGGGCCCCCCTGATTACTATACTATACAAACTGTAGTTCAGGGCCTTAGAACCTAAGTTAGGAGCCTTGAAACACAATTGAGGGCCCTTATAACTCTCCTTCTAGCTCGGGGGCCTCTCCTTGTATGCTCCAAGCCCTAAACCCTAAACCCTAAACGCTAAAACCGAAACCCTAAACCCTAAACCCTAAACCCTAAACCCTAAACCCTAAACCCTAAACCCTAAACCCTAAACCCTAAACCCTAAACCCTAAACCCTAAACCCTTCTTCTGGACAGGAAGGTTCCTAAAACCGAAACCCTAAAGCCTCCACGAGGTCGACTGGGATGCCCTGCGCCGCCTCGCCGCCACTCCGTTTGTTTTCTCGCCCAAGGCTTCAGACTGCGCGGCCGAGGTCAAGGCACCAGGGCTTTGGGGTTTCAGGGTTTGGGGTCTAGGGTTTGGGGGTTAGGGTTTGGGGTTTCGGGTTTGGGGTTCAGGGTTCAGGGTTTCGGGTTTAGGATCATCCTAGGAGCGGGAGGTGTTGGGGTTGTCCTGCGGGTTGCCATGTCGGCGCACTCTTTTGGGGGGGGTGAAGGGGAGGGGGGGGGGGGAGCTGGCTGTTCACACGAGGGGTTTCACGATCATCTTTGGCCACTTAAATCATCAAGCCCACTTCATGGCTTTCTACAGTGAAAAGGGTGGTGCTCTGTCTTGCAGAGAGCAGGCTGGGCCCAGGGGGGGGGCCCAAACCCTGAACCCTGAACCGATTGCGTCAGGGTGCAAGGCCCCATGCCTTGCTTTTATGGCAAGAGAGCGATGAGCAAGTCTGAATCGCCCAAAGCTTCCAGCATTAATTGATGGATAGTGCAATTTGTTAGCACAGCTGGGCCTTGTTCATGTAGGTTTGTTCGCATGCTTCTGCGGTGTGTGTGTGTGTACTGCCTATTTGTCCAGCAGTGTAAACTTGCAAACAACATAAAGCCCACATTGGGCTGTATGCGAATCGCTACTGCAAGCGAATATAAGACTTGCCGACTGACAAAGTCGTGCAGTGTCGTTCAGGTCGTGCAACAGCAAGGACATCGTTACAATCAGAAACTTAATTTTGCATCTTGCAAACTATTTTGGTCTGTCATGCAATGGGCCGTTCTCTAAAATCGATCCCTTTTTGGAGCATGTACCTCATTATACAGTACGGCACAGTATTAAGAACAAGATCCCGAAAGAGACCCTAATTTAGAGAACTCCCATATCATGTTGGAGGTTTACCTAAACCCTAAAACCCTAAAACCCAAAACCCTAAACCTAAACCCTAAACCCTAAACCCTAAACCGTAAACCCTAAACCCAAATACTTCCACCATCTCTGGGCCAGGGCTTCGACGCGGAGCCCTGCTCCCCGGTGTCGGTGCCCTGCGCATAGATGCCCCGACGTCCCCGCCATAGGCGCGGGACGTTCGCACTGTTTAGGGTTTAGGGTTTAGGGTTTAGGGGTTAGGGTTTAGGGTTTAGGGTGTTTTCTGGTTGCTGAGGAGGAGCTGTTTCCGATGAATCAGGTGGCTGCCAGTCTTAAACCCCAGTCTGATCGTTGCATCCCCCTGAACAGACATCTGCCAGCAGTGCAGATGCAATGGCGGTGGCCAAGACTGCAACCATGTGCCCTGTCAGCGCGCGGGAGTCTTTCTACACCTTGTTGCCCTGAACCCTACAAACCCTAAACCCTAAACCCTAAACCCCTCAACCCCTGAACTCAAACTTTCAGTTTAAGCCCTACAGGCACAGAGCCCGTCGGCCCTGACCAATTACAGGCTAAGTCCAAGCCTTTTCGTGGGGGTTCAACCCTCAAAGTCGTCATGTGCTGCACTTCGGGGGCTGTGTTTCTAGGTTTAGGGTTTAGGGTTTAGGGTTTAGGGTTTAGGGTTTAGGGTTTAGGGTTTAGGGTTTAGGGTTTAGGGTTTAGCCCACAAGACCATGGCCACATTGGCTAATTACCCTAAGCCCTAAACCTAAACTCTAAACCCAAAACCCTAAACCCTAGTTACACCAGTTGTGGTCTCCACGGTCTCAGCTCGCATGGTGACACCCGGGATGTGGGCTCATCACTGGAGCCCAACATAGCTTGCCCTAAGCTTTAAACAATAAACTCTAAACCCTAAACCCTAAACCCTTGCCCTAAACCCTAAACCCTAAGCCCTAAACCCTAAACCCTGAACCCTGTATTCACTTCACACAAGAAGTTCAGGCTGCCTCATGACTGAGGTTTCAGGGCTTAGCACTTGAAGTTGGGCCAGGGCAGAATTTAGGGTTTTGGGTTTGGGGTTTGTCAGGGTTTTGGGTTTAGGGCTTAGGGTTTGGGGTTTAGGGTCTTGAGGTTTATCCATTGAAAGCAGGGTCTTCCGGTTCATGGGGCTCGTAGGGTTTAGGCTTTAGGGTTTAGGGTTTAAGGTTTACGACTTATATAGGGTTTAGGGATGCGAAAAACATTGAAGTTCATTTCTGTAAGGCCCCCGTCCGCCTCCACCTCTCAAAGAGAGGCGATTTTGCTGTAAGGGCTTCGGGTTTAGGATGCTGGTGGGATACGATCACCCCTGTTCTAGCATGCTAAGGTCGCCGAATAAACGGGGGTGAGTTTTGAGATCTTAAGGTAGGGTTTGTGGCATGCCGATCTGAGGCACGACACTTGGTTTCGCTCTCCAGATGCTGATTGCTGGCATCACAAGGCTCTCGCTACATGGACCAGAGTTGGTGTTGCTACTGTCCACCAAAACCTAAACCCCAAGTAGACCCCATGAACCTTGAACCATATACCGTAGCATCTCAAAGTCCTGAGACAAAAAGCGATGCACTACTCAGCGTCCAGGCCATGAGAGCTATCTTGCACCACGGCAGTCCCGCAATCAGGCAGCTGTGTCTAGTCGTATAGCCGGAGCAAAGCCACTACACCTTCTGTTTGAGAGGGTCAGGAGCGGAGGCGTGTCTACACAGAGACACCTGGGTAGAAGTCAGTCCAGAATGCTCCCCTGCTGATGTGAGGGCAAACGCTACCTCATTGCATTCCTTTACAACTGTACAGGACCCAGATCCTGGGGTCGTCGGACAAGAATGCCTCGAGCTGTGAACAAGCTCTTCACAGCTTTAGGCTGTCAGTGCAGCTGCCTTGCAGCTCACAATCTTCCCAGTGTTTTTCCAGGCACGAGCAGGCTTGGCAGGAGACCAGACGCTTCTTCTACCAGTTGCTTCAAGTCAAAGGCCGTTGGGATGTTCTCCTTATACTAACAGTCCTTAATAGGGAATATAGCACTCCTATTCCAATCCCCTTTAAGGACTGCTAGTATGAGGGGGAACATTGCAAGGATGCCGCGTAATACACGGGATGCTCTTTCTGGACGTATGTTCTTAGCTGCATGAGGCATAGGGGCTGATCGAGGCTTTCACAACTTTCGCCTGTATTGCAGCCTATTTCTAAAGGATACCTCAGATTTCTATAGGGTTGTGTTCTTCAGTATAGACTCAATGGCCCTATCAAGCGCAAACCCAAGCCTCTACCTCTATAAAGGCTCAGACAGCCCCTATAAAGCTCAAACCCCAAGCCGCAGAGCAGCCCCAACTAAGCCTTAAACCCCAAGCCGCACACCCTATAAAACCGGAAACCCTAAACCCTAAACCCTAAACCTTCCAAGGTCTACCTCTTCGACGGGCTTCGCAAGGGTGTCGTCGAAACGCTGCACCCGATCCTGGCCTCGAAGGCCATAATCAAGGCCAGGGGAGTTCCATGTTTAGGGTTTAGGGTTTAACATTCGAGCCTGTGTGCATAGGTATATATAGTATATACCCCTCAAAAAAATGGTTAAGGTTAAACCTGAAGGTTTCGTTTAAGCTCCGCGGATTTCAGGATATATATATATAGAGACGAAACCCAAAGGAATTTTAGCCAAAACCAGATGAAGCAAGGGTTCATGGAGTGGGAACAAAGGTGGCGCTGAGATCCGCCGGCTCGGCAAGGCCGTGTCATGGCTCTTGAGACACAACGGTCGCTTCGACCGCGATGGCTGGGTGCGGGCCGCTGACGTCCAAGCCTTCCTGGGCATTGCCGAGCAGCCAGTCTTGTGGAGGCTTGGCAAGTGCCATGCGAACTGATTCTCTAAGTACCCTAAGTACCCTAAGTACCCCAAGTACCCTAAGTACCCTAAGTACCCGAAACCCTAAAAAGGGACTGACCTTTTCGGCCAGACTGACATCAGGAGCTGGTCGCCGAGATGGCAAGGGCAGACTGTTCGTAAAAGGGGGAACACCCCAAGCCCCTAAACCCTAAACCCGAGACCGAAAAATCCCTAAACCCTAAACCGAAAAGACCCTAAACCCTAAACCCTAAACCCGGACCCTAAACCCTAAACCCTAAACCGTAAACCCTAAACCCTAAACCGTAAACCCTAAACCGTAAACCCTAAACCCTAAACCCTAAACCCTAAACCCTAAACCCTAAACCCTAAACCCTAAACCCTAAACCCTAAACCCTAAACCCTAAACCCTAAACCCTAAACCCTAAACCCTAAACCCTAAACCCTAAACCCTAAACCCAAGCCACCCCCATATCCCACAAGCTCTGCGTTTCAGGTGCTTCTCTAGTCTCCGATCAGGGTTTAAGGTTCAGAGCTTCAGGTTGCCGTTCACTCAGGCTCCAGACTGCAGTTGAGAAGGGTTTTGGGTTTAGGGTTTAGGGTTTAGGGTTTAGGGTTTAGGGTTTAGGGACTAGGGATTTGGGATTTTGAGGCTCGGGGTTCCAACAGCTTAGGGCTTTAGGATTGAAAAGGTTGAGGTGAGGGTTCGTAAGGTTGATAGTCCGCGCTCAGCCGCTAGCCATCACGTCCATGGGGTTTCGTCTGCACCCACCCTAAACGCTAAACCCTAAACCCTAAACCCTAAACCCTAAACCCTAAACCCTAAACCCTAAACCCTAAACCCTAAACCCTAAACCCTAAACCCTAAACCCTAAACCTAGCTTGGCTTCACGAAGTTTGGAACAACGGTCTCAGGGTGTTGAGGCTTCATAGGGTTTATCGGGTTCATCGGATTTGTCGGGTTTAGGGTTTAGGGGTTAATTCGGGTTTGGGCGGTTAACCCTACAGACCCTAAACCCACGGTCCTTCTGTAGCACTGTAACACTATGCAACACTGTAACACCATCACTCACTGTTTTGTGGCTGATGGTTCTTTTTTCGTATTTTGTTTTGTCTTTGTGTTTTGTTTCATATTTTCTTCTGGCTTTAGGGTTAAGGGAGGGTTTAGGGTTTAGGGTTTAAACCCTAAGCCCTAAACGCTAAGCCCTAAACCCTGAACCCTAAACTCTAGACCCTAAAGCCCTAAACCCTAAACCCTAAACCCAAATCCATGAAAAAAAACACGCAAAAACACAAAAATATACGAAGAATAAACCTGGACCCCTGTTTTGTCCACAGCGTGAGAATACAACGTTACTGTAGTGTCTTTTCGCTTGTCTCGCTTGTACTGTTGCAGGGTTCAGCGTATGGTTTAATTGGGGCTTATAGTGCAATAGGGTTTAGATGCAGCAGCTCCTCTTCATTTGAGACGCGCATGGGCCTGTAAAACATCACGAAACCCTAAGCCCTCTACCACAACCACCGCCGTTACCAACACCCTTCCCCGCAAGCTTAAAGCCTAAATCCTTTAAACTATCAACGCCAAACCCTAAACCCTACAAACTCTAAACCCTAAACGCTCCCCTCCCTGCTTAACAGGTCATGCACGACTGCCGCGAGGACTCGCGGCGACCCAAGCATTGCCCGTTAGGTTCATTTTCGGATTTAGTGCTTAGGGCTGAGGAGCACCCAAAAAGGGTTTGGGATCAGGATTCAGAGTTAAGGGCTGAGGAGCACCCAAAAAGGGTTTAGAGGGCTAGATGTGATGGTTTTGGGTGGATTAGGGTTCGGGTTTGGGTTTAGGAGAACCATTTTCAGTCTGCAGTGAAGACATGCGGGTCGGGGCTGTTGGATTGCAAATTATGATGGTTTTGAAGAAGCTACATCCAGTTTAGGGTAGTAGGGCTTAGGTTTACGGAATCCTTGCACGCCTTTGCTAACAACACCCCGACAAAAAGGTCCTACACCTCATAAACCCCTATAACCCCTTTTAAACCCTACAAAGCCGATAAACCCGGTAACCCCTAGAAATTCTACAACGCATATGAACCCTGCTATCCCTTGTACACCCCTGTAATCAACAAATGGCACCTTTTTCATCCTAGGTCATTGGGCAATGTAGCACTACAACTACTGTAAACCCTGCAGCTCGTGGGCTCATGGCCGAAATAAGGCGCCTTTGCATCATTGGGGTATGTTGTTCGGAACCTCCGACCGACAATGTATGCAGGAAGGGTATATAGGGTTCAGGTTGCAGGGTTTAGGG